ATCAGTCTCACTCCAGTCCCAGCTAGCCCTGCCTCCAGGCATCACTAGTTGCCCTCCTTCAGTCTGCATGCCCTGCCTAAGAAGAGGAGCCTACATGATTCATAACTTTGAAAACAACAGCTTAGGAACTTTCATGAATATATCTGATTCCATGATCTAGCATATACTATCAATTTAATAAAATGACCCTTCCTCCCTGTTCATACCTCGATATTAACACATGGGGTGGGCACATGAACATTCATGAAGAATCTCAACTGATCAGTTGTTCACTTAAGAGCTGGGCAGTTGCATGGCAGACATTTACCTCGGGGGTATGTTTCCAGGTAGCTGAGAGGATGGGTGGCAATATTGTGACACTGTGGTGGAAGATGGGAGGAATCGTGGCTTTCTGGTACCAGTCAGAGCTTCTTAAGGAGCTTTAGGATTCCCAACATTGGCTGCGCAGACTTCCCGTGTTGCAGATCTGACTCATTAGCTGCCATAATCCCTTTGTTTGGGACCTTTTCCCTCACTTGCAAGAGGCTTCCTAATTAGGACCAAGGGTATCCCATGCAGAACAATCGTGCAGTCTCCCATCGTCTATTGTGTGAGTTTTTGTATGGACTTGTATATATGACATAAATGCTTAATTTTTATGACAAAAGAAAAAAATAGAAATTCTTTCCCTTGTGCTTCTGAGCTAGGTCTGGAATGAAAATTAAGAAAACCTCACCGAAACGGTGCTAAGGGTTTTGGTTTCTTCTTCTTTTTTTTTCCTTCCAGATTCCTGGTATACAGAGGATATGTAGACTACTAGCAGTGTTTTATATATGGCTTCTATTTAAGTCCCCTGTTCTGTAGTGCTGCTGCCAGGGCGAGGATCTCATTTTCAATGTCAGTGTTGTCCTGGTGGTGTATCCTTGGGGCTGCTTGTAAGTCTCTTGGCTGACTTGTCTGCAATATGCAAATCCCTTCTCCTGGTTCATCTTGCAATTCCCTGTAGTTTGAGTCTTTGTTCTCCTGCACATACAGCCTCCCTGCCTGCCTTATCCTCCACACCTCAAAAGCAACTTTTAAAATCTTCTGTTTTAATGCACTAATTTTAAAGGTGAAAGCAAAGACATTAATTGGCTACGCAGCCAAGCTAGGGAAGTGATATTCAATCCAAATACATTGATTACTACATAAACAAGAACAGGTTTAATGTGTAGGCAGTGTAAAACACTCTGAGAAAGGGCTCTAAGCCCTCGCCTGATGATTATTTTATCCTGTTTTTCCATTCGAGACCCCTAGGCCACACCTTCAAAGAAGGAGCAGATGCACAGATACAGGCTACTTTGAGATGCTCTCCTTATTCCCTGGCGCTGTGGGAGTCAGAGAGCTTAGGTACCTAGGGAAGCTCTTCAGGCTCATCCCACTGCTCTGCCCCGCTGGGAGTTGCAGGCAAGGTCTTAAGGACGAAGTTCTGCCAGGCTTGCCAGGGAAGGTGTGGGGCTTAATCAGCTCCTCACTGCAAGATGTGTGGTTCCCGATGCTGCTGGTGTTCCTGAACACAGACATTCAAACCTTCTCTTTGCAGGGAGCTCATATGTTTCCCTGAAGTTGCAAGAGGCAAAGCCAAATAAAGACTGCATAGCCTGAGTCCCAGCTTGGGCCCTTGTCTGGTGGCCAGGGCTGTTCTGTAATAGAATTACTGTTTAGGAATTTTGCAGAGTTGGCTCAAGGCCGAAGATACTTGGGTAATGAAAAGAGGGAAAAATGTAAGTGGGCCATGGGAGCAAGCCGGAAAAACACCCTCCATGCAATGTCTTCAGGTTCGCCCTAAAGCAAGGAGTTGGATCATGCATAGTGTTAGGCGGAGAACCCAAGTGAATGTCTCCAAGCCCGTAGGCTTTCTGGGAACGGCCTTTATTTGACAGGCCAAAAATATTCTGCTGGAGGGCTGGTTTTCCACAGAATTAGACAGAGGGCCTCAAAGCCGGTTCATGGTGATCTGCAGGCTTCCAGCCAGGACATTCTGTTGATCTGGATACCATCTATAGCCTCAAATCCATGGTGCTTGCTTGTAACATTTTAATAGCCAGCCTGGATTTTTTGGCAGACATTTGTTTAGTTTATTTTTCTGTAAGCTTGCGACTTAAGGAATTGAAATTTGAGAGTATTATTGTGTCTTGGAACTCAGAATCAGAAATGCTATTGGAGATGATTTTTTTTTTCTCCTTCTTCTCAACTGGTACCCTGAAGAGAGGAGTTTCACATTTATAAGTGACCACGGGGTGATGTAACTAGAAAAAGTTGTTTTCGTGGAGGATGTAAGCAGGTGGTTTAGATAGAGTTAAAGAAGCCCTGCCTTCCTTTTGCTTTCTTTAATCGTATTTCCTTCTTCCCCTTTCCTTCTCCTCTCTTCCCCAATCCTCTTTGATCACCTCTCCTTTCTTCGTGGTGAGAAATGCTCAGGGAGGGATAGGTACCTGACTGTGGTAAGGTCCTGGTCCCTTGTATATACCTCACTCAATACCTCTCCACTCACCCAGTTTTCCCACCTCTGCCTTTAAAGGGAGACTTCTCTTTGCTGAGTGTGATAGCACCCTTCTCCTCTGGGTTCACCCTCTTCCTGCTGTGACCTCCCGAAGTAAGCAGTAAGATTTCTGCAGAGCTTAATATGTTACTCACCTACCAGGTGAATGCTGTGGGCTCAAATCATGAATTACTATTTTTTCCCCTGTGGCTTTTGGGTCCCTAAAATCTAGGAGGAGAAAAACAAAACAAAACAAAAAAAAAAAACCTCATCTGTCATTTTAGTATCTTTTTTTTTTTTTTTCTTGACTTTTCACAGCCTGATTTAGGTAAGAGTCTATTCTACAATCCTGGAAACATCTTGGATATTTCCTGATCTTTCATCCAATGCCAACCCTAACTACTGCTCACAACCCCCTTTTCATGGGTATGATGCTTTCATATTGATAAGTAGCACGGCTTATTTCTTTGGGCTTCATGACAGCCTCTGATGCAGGCCATTCTTGGCCCCAAAGATCGCTTTTTTTTCCTGCCCCAGGACACCTCCCTCTTGTCTTTGGAATTCAGGTTCAAGGTTGTTGCATTTGTTTTTTTTTTTTTTTTCTCAGTGCATAAGGACTCAGTTGGAACTTGAATTGTCCCTCTCTTTCCTAGAATGGCCTACAACTCTCAGTGTGACACCTGCTCAATAAGCTAAGCCTGAAGGCACATGCTCTGGAGCACAGTGACAGCGACTCAGGGTGAAAGGCCTTGGCTCTTTCTCATCATCCTCCCTGCCTGAAAGACAATCCCCAGTAGCATCCAGGCTCTCTTGGGGTGACACTGTTACTCACTTCAGCCCTGAGTGCTCTCTCTCCACCCTGTTGTTTCGTTCCTGATTTTTCTTGCTGTTGCAGAACTTGTGTGTGCCAGGTGGGCCCTTTGGGGCATCCAAGTCCCTCTTATTTACTTATTTTACACACTGGCGTATTCCCTGTGCACCGTTGTCTGAATTGTCATGCGTTTTGGACTCAGTTCCAGATTGTCAAAGGCATGTTTTCAGCTGAACAAATGAAAAGAATGAAAACAGCTTCAGCCACTCTTTGCTTTATTCTCATTCCCCATCCCAGCAGGGAGGATGGGGAAAGAATGCATCCTCCAGGTCCCGAAAGAATTCCTAATATTCGTCCTTTCTCCATAAGTTACACAGCTTAATCCTTGCTTTAGACATTTTTCTTTCTTTCTCCCCCTCTCCTTCTAAATAAACTGGGCCTAATTGGAAAAAGCTGAGAGAGCTAAGCAGGAAAGAATAGAAAACATTTACTGAGCTTGGAGGTGCATATTGAATGCTGCAGGAAATTTGCATATGGATTACTTGGTAGAAAAAAAAAAGAAAGAAACATTCTCAGCCCATTAGTTACTATGATGGACTCCCACTGACTGAAGTCCAAGCACTTTGCCTTGTTTTCTCCAGCTGTTCTTTTCTTCAATCATTTCTCTTTGGCCACAGGGCAGCTATTCTGTTGCTGCTCTGGGTACTGAGGAAAAGACAAAATAAGGAATGCAACTGTGCCTGCAGCATGTGTAGGCTACTTTTGCTTTAACCTGTATTGTACCCTTATTTCTGAGAGCATTTCTTACTCAGCCCAGACATTTCCAAGCCACTTTTTCTATATTTGCAGGTGTAAGTGCCAAGGCATAGATCCCTCCATGGTGCCTCAGTTTCCCTAAGTGCAAAATGGGAAGTTGGGCTTAGGAGCAGTTTAACTGGAGATGGAAAAGAGTCAATGAATATTTATAAAAGTAAATTCAGTCCCTGGAATATAAGATTCCACAGAAATTCAAAGCATAATTAAGGTAAAGAGAACAGATTAGTGTTAAATATATGTGTGAAACACATTTTACATTTCCTTCCAACAAAGGCTGAATTTCATTTACTCCAAGTGAGGGGGAGAAGAGGGGAGGAAAGTGGTATTGTGAATTAGGCTTCTAAATTTGGGTTTTGATATGTTGATTAGTGTACTATAGACATAAAGCAACATGTTGACATTTCTCAGCAAGTATGTGTGTGTCTGTGTGGGGTAAAAGATGGACATATATAATAAGCAAATGCAATTACCATTGGCAGTACTCCTCCAGGGGAGCCAACAGAAAGAAGTAGAGGAAGAATTGTCATCAAAAAAGATACTTTAAGCTACTTTTTTAATCCATGAAAACATCATTGAACATGGAATGACCACCTTTTTGCATTGCAGGTTGAGGTGAGATCCTTTATATGAAAAGATGTTAGATATGCCTACAGAAATCATCTGTATAGTTGTGTCATTGCTTTGGGAAGCAACAGAAGCTATCTCTTTACAAAGGCATCACTGAATTATTAAGAGGTGTGGAAATCAATATAAAGATCCAAAATCAGTATTGACCCACCCATTTCAAGCTATCCATGGTGGCTTTTGAAAACAAAGATCTGTGAGATTGTGTCAACATAAAAGGGGAAAAGCTCTTATAAAGAAAAAAAATCTGTGCTCGCTTCGGCAGCACACATACTAAAATTGGAACGATATAGAGATTATTAGCATGGCCCCTGCGCAAAGATGACACGCAAATTCATGAATGTATATATATATGCTAATTGAAACTCAAATATGTGATGAATCCAAGGTGTTTCAGTGAGTGCTCACCTGTGCATGCAAATTTGATTTCATCTTTAGTAAGTAGTAAAGTTATATGCTTTCCAAAAAAAAAAAATTAAGTGACACACTGGAAGACAAATGTCACACAATTTCAAGTGTATGTGTAACCTAGAAATGATGAACTTATGGGAACAGAGAGCAGAATTGTGGCTATTAGGCTTCAATGTGGGACTTTTAACAATGGGGAAATGATTGGTTTAAGGATATAAAACTACAGTTGGACAAGAGGCATGGACTCTGTGAAGTCTTGAGGTCTACTGAGAGCATGATAAATATGGTTGATAACAATTTGCTATATTTTAGAAGTTGTGAGATAGTATACTTTAAGTGTTCTCAAAACAAAAATGATGAATATGTGTATTGTGTATCATAATTGTGCATGACTTTATGAGCTAAATAAATGAATGAAAATAAATAAATAAATAAAAAGAAAAAAATCCATATCATAAAGCCCCATGTGCCAAACACGCACTGATTTTTCAACAGAAATATAGTCATTACACATTCCCAAAAGGTACCCCTTCCAACCTAAATCCAAGTAGTTTTCCTGGTCAAGGTTCCTTTTGGAGCAACTAAATCCCTATCTTTAGAGTAATTAGGACATAGATAAACCATGCAGTGAGAGGTAGTGTTCATCAGAGAATTGTGTAGTTGAGATCACTGAGTCCCAGAGACAACGAAGGAATGATGAACCTCTCTGTCCCCAGCTAAGATTATCTGAACCAGAAACCACTTAGGCACAATCACAATGTAATTTTTTTAATGCAAAGTGTCTGAGCTATGTTCAGGTCACATCCCCTGGGACCTCACTTTTACACACTGTGGCCTGAGAACAGGTGTCATTAGCATATTTGGGAAGGCTCTAGAGATGTGAACTCCAAGCCTCACCTAGAATTGCTGAATCAGAGCAAGAGACTTAGGGAACTAAAAGTCCAGCCATTGCCCCTGGATACTACTTGGAGCACTATTGTTTCAGTTCTGTGGGCCATCTCCACACCATGATGGCTGCATAAAGGGTTAGCCGTTGATTTGTGATTACTAAATATATGATGAGTCAGAGACCAGTTTTGTCATTTGGACAGTCTTGACCCATTGCTCTCCATCCATCACGGATTTTGTAAATGTTTTATGCATTATATGCCTGGCAGATTCCATAGTAGGTTCTAGAAACAAGAGTAAATGTTACAGATTCAGAATTCAGCCCTTCAGTACATGGTTAGGAAGGAAGAGTAGCAGCAGAGAAAGTGCACTCAGCAGACTGAGCCTTGTCTAGAACTCTGGTCAGTGTGTCAGTGTCCCCTCCATCCCCCAGCCCAATCTGTTCTTGGGAGGCTCCTGGTTCATGTGGGCACAGGTACACAGAAAAGCTGTGAGTTCCTCTGCTATTTCCCAGTAGGAAGGGCCCAAACATGGTAATAATTCCTCCCCTAATGAACACATTTAAATGAACACATGATTTTGTTGGGGGGCTGGTATTACCAAAAGCACAAAGGGTTTACTCCTAGTCGAAAAACAACAGCATGGGCCCAGAGAGTATATTGCCAAGAGCATCAGATTGTTATTCTCCAGGTTTCTGTGGTTTGGGTGGACCTGTGGCTAGGCAGCCTCTGAGTCTCCCTTTCCTCATCCTATTGTCTTCACATCTGTCAGATTGACAGCTGGTCTTCAGTAGCATCCCTATCCAGAAAAGGCCAGGGTGGGTTCAGGTTTCTTAGCTTGTAGGTTCTGGCTCCTCTCTTTCCTTCCTTCCCTTTTTCCTGTAGAGAGTGCCTTCCCATCTCAGTCATTTCAAGTTTGAATTTGATTTGCATATCTAAGCTGCTAATTATACCAATTACTTGCAGTGCTTTCTAAAAGACCTCAGAAACTGACCCCTCTCATTAAAGTCAGTGTCAGTCTCCCCTGAAGATTGGACCTGTGGAACTATGTTCTTTATCTCATTCTAAGTCTTATTCTCATCTCATCTTCTCTGTCCTTCTGTCTATCTATCATCTATCCTGTATCTGTCTATTATCTATCATATATCTATCTATCTCTTCATCTCCTCAGTCTCTCTCTTCTTACAAATGTAACTTTAGAAAAACAACTACTGGTGACTGGTTTTGGTTTTTTTAGGGGGTTCTCAAATGTGCATTTTTCTGGTCTTGTTTGTCTGTAGTCCAGCGTACATTCTTTAACTAAACACCACTCTTGAGAGATCAAAAGGAGTCCTCCCTGCTTTCATTTTGTTCTTGGCTGTAGCTCATGGATGGGTTTCTCATTTTTTTTCTCTTAATTTGTTAAGGGGAAAAAAAAGCTCCTTTTCCTACAGAAGAAACACAAGTAGCTCTGTGGATCATAAAGGAACCATTAGTATTCACTAATACAGTCTGTTCCTAACTTGCTTTCCTGCCACATCCTCTCAGTGTTATTTACCGAGCAACTGAAATAATTGGGCTTTGAATTTTTAGATCACTATAAAGCAAGACCTATTGTCACTTATTGCTGGGTGTAATTACACCCTAAGTATTTATTGAGGCTATTTATTCATCTCCCTGGTGGATAACTTTGTCAAAACCAGTTGAGATATTTCTGTGTGTATGGTTGGAATCTAGAAAAACATGCATTTCATATAACACTTAGAAATTATAGAGGCTTTCACAAATAGTGTTTGTCTCTAGACCTTAGGGTCTGATCTTTGAGTCATTCTCATCTTTGATTATTCCCTATTGTTTGTTAGAACAATCACTGTTTGTCAGAATGTGTACTTATTCTGAGTAGATTTTAAGTCCTAGAGAGAGGAGAGGAAGGAGGGAGTGGGGTTGGGGGCAGGAGGGTTAACATTGCATTATAAATGCAATAGGTGCTGCTGCATCATGAAAAAGACAAGGTGATAGTTCCATGAGGAGCTTATAAGTGTGCATATGTGGGTGACTAAACTTAACTTTGGGGACAAAGAATGCTTTCCTATAAAAGGAGTATTTCAGCCAAGATCTAAAAGCATGGGATTTAACCAGCCAAGTAGGAGGAAACCATTTTTTCCCAGGAAAAGAAAGGAAACAGTCTGTGTAAATGGCCCAATGCAGGAAAGATCCATGGTGCCATGAGAAGCTATGGCTGGGAAAACAAGAGATGTAAGGGTTCCTGGAGAGAAATAAGGAGTATCACGCAGGATCCCATGCACCATGACAAGGTTTAAGGGCTCTAACTTCAAGAAACCTACGGAGAATCTGACATAGAAGAGAACCTCATTGAATTTTTTTTTTAAATTTTCCTGAAATTGCTTCAGCAGTAACCTAGTAGATAATCGAGTAAATGGATTGAGGCGACAAAGAGACCACTGATGTAGACTGGATAGGGTGGGTGGTAGCCAACCTCAGAATCCAGAAGAAGGCAGAGGGTGTTCATGCAGTGAGAACCTTGAGGATTTGAAATGAAAGGTGGATGGGGGTGAGAAAGAGTAGCCAGGGTGCTTTGCTGGGAGTGAGAACTCACGGTGGGGGCAAGCCCTTGCTGAGGTTTATATTATGTACTATGGAGGCCTTGGAAAAGAGACATTGAATAGAGATGGTAGACCTGGAGCTCATGGGGACTGGGGGATAGCCATGAGGAGTAAGATGCTGTACACAGGTGCTTCTTGTGCCCAATGGTAGACATAGTAACAGGAACTGTATTCGCTTTTTGAGATGCTTGCTTTGTCTCAAGTGGAATTAGAAGTACTAGCAAATATCTAAGTGGAGATATCTGACAGTTAAAATGTATAGAGCACCTAACATGTCTTTGGCTCCTTCTAGAGTATGAGAATGTTTAAATTAAGTGCCTTTCTTTTCTCTATGTAATGTTTACGCTACAGTGTGTTGGAGAAGTAAGGTCAAATTTTGCCACTAGAGATGAATCAGTAGTAATTTCAAGACCCCTATTTTTATTTATTGGTTGATATTTTTTTTGCACTAAGTGTTCATGCTATAAGTTCTTTCATTGTTTGGCTGAACGTAAAACCTTAAGTCCTTCTAGAATCATGTTGATTCTTTCATCCCAGGTCCCACTTTGCGTTAGTTTCTTAGCAGCCAGTGTCTCTGAGTGGCTCACAGATGCACACCACATATTTTCCCCAAACTTGAGAACTATAGTTAGTTAAAAGAAAGATCATGCCAAGAACATATGGCTCACGGTACTTTCTAGTCGTTGCTGATGGCTTAATTCCGTGCTTAGACTTTGGTAAGAGTGCTTGGTATAATTTAGGAGAGCTAGTCCTTGGGAATTGGAATTCCTAATATTATTCATTGTGTAAAGAGAAAAACATGAAAAAGTGGAGTTGGTTATTGGAGTTCCCAAATACAATTGTTCTCATATAGCTCTCCCCTCCAGAATTTGCTTTCCCTTTGGAGGGAATAGTGCAGTCAGAGGTCATGATTCTACTTGGTGTTGCACTGTCTAACAGCTGGATGACTTTGGCAAGATAATTACTTCTCTGGCCCAAGTCCCCCTGTGGTGGTTTAAATGAAAATCCACCCCAAGGCCTACATATTTGAACCCTTGGTCTCTGGTGGTGGCACAGTTAGAAGGAGATGGTGGAACTGTTGGGAAGTGTAGATTTCCTGGAGGAAGTACATTAGTGGAGGCAGACTTTGAAAGTTTAGAGCTTTGTCTCACTTCCAGTTCACTCTCATTTCTTCCTGCTATTGAATGGGAGTGTGGTCAGCCAGTTTCCTGTTTCAGCCATTTGTTGTTTTGCCTCCTCTGCCATTATGGATGCCCTCTTTAGAACCATTAGCCAAAATAAGCTGTCTGTGCTAAGCTATGTTTTTGCTCATGGTGTTTTATTGCAGCAACAAAAAAGTAACCAACACACCCCCTTTCTTATTAAATAAGGACAACAAATACTAGATAGTTTAGGTACATAATAGACGATGCTGCCATAGTATGCAACATTCCCTGAGAGTGTATATGTTAAGTA